TTTTTGTTGTGAAGGACATCACCACCAATCAAATTTACTTAAAGGATCGAGCTCAAGGGGATTTACAAACTTCTGGTACAAATTCACATAGCATTCATCACATCCAAAGCGTCATCATAAGTTTGACACAATCATCTTGGGCATCGCCACTCTAGAGCCCTACATAGAATTCTACGTCATTGTCCAGTAGCAAAGTCGTCAAGTGATAATAGTAATTCTCTTTGTTATGCCTGTCAACTAGGAAAATTCTCATGATTTCCTCTAGAAAGAGTTACAACATCTAGTTCTTCTATTTTAGATTTAATTTACATTGATATTTGGGGGTCATCCCCGATTTTATCGAATGAATGACATTGTTATTTCGTTATATTTGTTGATGATTACTCCAGGTATACTTGGTTCTTTCCCAAGAAGCTAAAGACATACATCTATGCCATTTTTAATCAATTTAGGTCACTGGTTGAACGTACATTTTCCACCAAAATAAAAGTCATTCAGTCTGATCTAGGTGGAGAATACAAAAGTTTGGCAAACTCTTTGTCAGTCTTGGAATAAATCATCATCAGTCTTATGCTTACACCCATGAGCAAAACGGACGTGTCGAAAAATGTCATAAACACATTGTTGAAACTGGTCTAACCTTACTTGCTCAAGCCTCTATTCCTATGAGGTTTTGGTCCTATGCCTATGAAACAACAGTTTTTCTAATTAACCGACTACTATACCCTCTACAAGCTTAAACAATTTAAGTTCATATGAAATCATCATAAAAAAGCCTCCAGGCTACTCATTCTTCGGTGTCTTTGGTTGTCTATGTTTTCCCTATCTACGTCCCTACAATCAACACAAAATAGAGTATTGTTCTGCTCCATCTGTCTTCCTTGATTACTCAGAGTCTTTTAGACATCATTGGTTCAATCTAAATACTAGAAAATTTCTTACCATTCTCCATGTCCAATTTGATGAGTGTGTTTTCCCTTTTGCAACTAAAACTCTTCCACAGGTTTCCACTACGACTCATGATGCAAAACCATGTGTTATCGTAAATGTACCAAGTGAACCAAAGTGCCAGAATTTCGACACACTCGTGCCACCACCGTGTTAGGACCGTGTCCCACTTTTAGTAAGGGACACGGCCTCGGCACTCGCGCGACACACCCGTGTCGCCAAAACCTCCACAGGCGATTCTACTCTCGATTCTTCTCCAATTGACCCTTCCAGACCCGAGCGGCCTCAACGCACACATCATATGATCCTAAGGCACATGACTCATGATTCCACAGGTAACAAAGATCAAATTGCATGTATTGATGACTCAGAACCCACATGCCACTCCCAAGTAGTGAAAACCCCTAAATGGATGACCGCGATGGATGAAAAATTTAATGTAATGTTGCACAACAACACTTAGCGACTGGTTCCACATGAAAAAATATTAATATCATTGGATGCAAATGGCTTTACCGAATCAAAAGGAGAGTTGATGGTACAACTGAACAATACAAAGTGAGGCTTGTTGCAAAATGGTTCAATCAGGTTGAAGGAGAAGATTACTTTAACACGTTTAGTCTCGTCGTCAAACCAAATACAGTAAGGGCATCCTCAATAGTGGGGGTTTTGGTGTGGTATTTGAGGAGTTTTTGTAGGTGTGATTAGGAAAGAGAAAATGAGAGAAGGAGGTTAAAAAACAAAAACAAAACAAAAAAAAAATATCAACAAAAGAAAAAAAGAAAAAAAAAAAAAGAACTTGAAACGCGCCCGATTGGGCGCGAGTGTGCATCCCACACCAACTTTTCTGCTTGCTTCTTTTCTTTGTGGGGCCCACACAAGGGGACAAAGAACCCCAACCTCCTGCAACATACTCTCCCATCTATCTCCTCTCTCTTCTCTCCTCCACCTCACACTTTTTTCCTCAAAACCTGTGCACAACCCCCTTAATGGGGATGCCCTAAGACTTCTCTTATCTCTTGCTATGACAAATGATTGGTCTATTAGACAACTTGATATTCACAATGCTTTTCTTAATGGTTGTCTGAGTGAAAATGTCTACATGAAGCAACCACCAAGATATATTGACAACAATTTTCCCATTCATGTCTATAAGCTCCAAAGGTCTCTTTATGGTTTAAACAAGCACCACGTGCAATTCGAGAATGCATGAATACCATCTGGTAATATGTCTACATGGTTAGTTGCTTTAATTAAAGAGCTTGATCTTACTGTGCAAAAACCACAAAAACTTTGGTGTGACAATCTTGGTGCCATCTATTTGTGTGTAAATCATGTATTTCATGCAAGAACAAAATATGTTAAAAATGGCTACCATTTTTGTTCGTGACAAAGTGGCATCAAAAGAAATACAAGTGAACGTCATCTCTACAAAAGACCAGCTAGCAAACATCTTCACCAAGCCCATAACCACAACAAGATTCAATGATCTAAAAGACAAGCTCAATGTTCTCCCCAGAGAACCTCAAGCTTGAGGGAACGTATTAGGACTCTATTTTCTAGACACACTAGAATTAAGTTTCATTCTCCCTATATTATTAAGAATATTACCATTTACCATTTTTATCCTGGTTATGACTCGTTGTATTCCTATAAGTAGTCCCTTCGGGTATACTATATCATTAAGAACTATTCAATCACAATATATTCTTCCATAATTACTATTATTTCTAGATTTATTCTTCTCATCGGTTGAGGGGTAGTTAAGGAACTTGTACATTGTGTTTTAAAAAATTTATTTTGTATTTGTGTTAGATGAAAATGGTTTCATACAATTTTTACTTTAAATTTTTTTGTTGACTAATACATATTTTTATTTACAGAATTAATTCAAATACCAAATTAATTGAATGATTAATTTACACTTATTTATAGAGTTAATTTTAGCAAAAGTCTCTTATCTTTGGTGGCAATTTCAAATTTAGTTCCAGACTATCATTTTTTTGTCATTTAACACCTGAGACTTTCATATTTTGGACACTTTTGGTTCTTCCGATGAATTTTCCGGTGACCCCTATTTTAGGCAAGAGTATTTTCGTCTCTTCATTTTAAAAAAAAAAATTATTTTTCCAAAGAGTTAATTTCAGCAGAGATCCCTTGTCTTTAGTGAAATTTTCAAATTTAGTCCATGACAATCATTTTTGACATTTAACAATCCATCTATCATATTTTGGACACTTTTGTTATTTCGATGACTTTTTTCTGATGAAACACTATTTTAGAAAATGGTATTTTCTTATGACAAAGAAGAAGCTTTTTTCTCTTATTTTTTTCCTTGTTTTTTCGCTCTACAACTATAGTGGATTATTCATAGAATCATGGACTAAAACAATAGCGGTCAGATCGAAGCCGACCGGATAGCGACATCCTGAGCTTTCCAGCTGTGTTGCAAAATGATTCCCCCACACTCGGAGGTTCTCACATACTCATCAGTATAGCCATTGACGAAGGACAATTTGGGATCGGGATGAAGGAGATGAAGACAAAAGCTGAGTGAAGGAGATGGTGTGGCAATCCATGGCTGAAGAGACGAAAATCGAGAAAAAAAAACTGGCACAGAAAATCAAAAAAAAAAAATTGAAGAGATGAAAGCCTAAAATAGGATTTCACCTGAAAAAATCATTGCAAGGATCAAAAGTGTCCAAAATATGATAGCATGGGTTGTTAAATAGAAAAACGATTGTCTTAAACTAAATTTGGAATTGCTACAAAAGACAAGGGACCTCCGCTGGAAATAACTCATTGGGAAAATAATAAAAATTTGAAGAGTAAAAACTATCCTTATCTAAAATAAGGTTCCACCGAAAAATCATCAAAAGGACCAAAAGTGTCTAAAATATGATAGCCTATGGTGCTAAACGACAAAAACGATAATCTAAGACTAAATTTTAATTTTAAATTATCATTAAATACAAGAAACCTCCGCTAGAATTAACTCTTTATTTATATTTTATATTTTATTAATATTAGATTTAATTTATTCTATTTCCAATATAAATGGAACATTCACATATTTGATTTCAAATATATTACTGTAATTATTTCATCACATGATTATTAACTTGTAAATTTGAATTACTTCTCTTCTTTCCAATATAAACATCACAATAATTAATTCATGTCATAATTATTCTCTTCTTTCCAATATAAACATCACAATAATTAATTCATGTCATTATTATTAACCATTATAACAATTTCTGGACGGGTCCCTTGTCTCCAGCCTAGAGACGAAGAAGGTACATTCTCTTTGATCGGGAGACAATGGGACCCGACCGGAGACGACTTCTTCATCGTCAAAAGGATTTTCTTTTTTGTTTTTTTAATGTAACTATTTATTTTATTTAAAATTATTTTTAAATTTAATATCTCGCCATCAACATATTTTTAAGTAAACAAGTCATTTTGGATTGAATTGCATTAGTTTGTTTTATTCAAGGGTCCAATTGCATTTTTTAGTACCATAATCTAATTGCATTTTGGTGTACAATTGAGCGAACTATTTGATCCAAAATATGACACAATATGACTGTTGCAACTGTTGCACTATATGACACTACAGTTGCACTATATGACACTACAAGGATACAACTGTTGCACTATATGACACTACAAGACACACAATAAGTAATTCACAATTCTCAGAGGAATAGTTCTCATTTGATCCCAGTACTATATATATATATATGATGTAATGTAAAACAAAATATAACAATGTGATGGAACTTGAATCTATGACCTTTTTAAAATGGTAACTATGATGCATCAGACCACAAAATATCTGACAATATTTTATTAATTATTAAATAAATTGTTTTTAAATATTCATAAAATAAAATTTGAAAAACATATTATGTTGACATCGTAATAATAACATTAATGCCACATAACTTTATGTAAACATGGTAGTAATGATTTTAAAAGTTATGGTTCAATATAAATGACGTTAATGCCCTAACTCTATGAAAGTCATAATTGAATACACCCCTATATTGATCAAAATCTATAGCCTTTTTCCGGATAAATTTGGTCTAAGTAACTGGATTTTTGCCTTGCACCTTGGTAAAGAATTGAATACTCCGTAGTCTTTAGTGAGCTGGCAATGACATCCAGCGGATAAAACAGAAACAGGTCCCTACAACTGAGTAAAATTTTCTATAGCAATAAAATCCTACTTCAAAGTTGAAGCCATAACAAATACTTAACTATTGACGATTTATATATACGCTAGACTAGTATAGAGCAAAAACCCAAAAACGGTTTGAAAGAAAATTACAACATATATATATTTATATATATGGAAAAGAAGGGGAGAAGTGGGGGATTACTTGGAATAAATATTTATTGCTTGTCGCTAAAGGTGAGGGGTGGAAGAGGGAAGAAGCCATACTGATCATCGAGTAGCTTGGCTAGTAACTGATGATTTTTCTGATTCTCGAGCATTATATCTCTCATAAACCCTTCGATGGTTATTTGACCACCAAATCTCTGCTTGTTGCTCTCCAAATCTTCTTCGGCTGCAGATGCCATTACAATATTATATCATAATCAAATAACAGGGCTTTCATAATACACTTTTAATGAATCATGACAAGGGTGGGTGGGTAGTAGTAAAATGCAAATTATACTATGGACCAGGGTCTACATTACATTGTGGACCCTGGTTCAAAAATAACCTTTAGACTTTGTACCTGCAGTTAACCGTTTCTATACCTGTAAACAAATTGGCACATAGTAATTACAGACACATAAACCTTTAACTACAAATACAGAATATATTAACTACAAACACTATGTTAACCAACATCTTGTGTTTGTAATTAACATGCCTGCAGTTAACAATTTATGTCTGTGGTTATCATGTTATGCGTCTGTAATTACCATATGATGTACCTTCAATTTGTTTACACGTATAAAAATTGCTAACTGCAGGTGTAGAATGTGTAAAGTGACACATAAATTTGGAATTAGGGTTCACAATGCAATATGAACCCTGGTCTATGGTATAACAATTGGTAGTAAAATGTGTTCAGAATTCAGATAAAGATAAAGAAAATTAGTCGGCCCTGAAGTTGAAGTAGGGTGAAATGAAGTAGCTCTCAAAATGAAGTTTAGTTTGCAAAATCTACTAGGAGATGGGTATATTAGTAAATTTGTCCAACTAAGTGAATACCTGAAGCGCACACGTTTGAGTTCTCTAGTTCCATCTCTGAGTGCTACCAGTGTTATATAAACACCAGGCTCGTATTGTTCAATCCACTCTGCCACAATTTGGCTAGAATCGGTAGAAGCAGCAGAATGTTGAGATTCTAATCCACTTCTGTTGTTTTGTGAAGAGCCATATTCTCTGTTGGTAACAGCTTCAGAGGTACCATTACTGAAGGGTTGCATTGCACTACCATTATTTGATCTAACATCAGACAAGTTATCCCTCCCGTTGGAAGCCATAACACCGTGAACTTGACTGCATGAAATGCTTCCATTGTTTTGAGAAGCATCAGATTCTCTACTGGTGATATTTTCAGAAGCACCATTGCGGAAGGATTGCATTGCACTGCCACTATGCAATCTAACATCCGATCGATCATCATTCCCACGGGGAGTTGCAGCTCGGACATCATTGAATGGAATAGTTTCATTGGTTCCAGAATCAATATCCAAATCACTACTACTACGCATTCCATTGAAACTTGTATCGAAACTTGTTCGTGAGGCTAAGGTGGAACTGGTGACTGAATCAGATCTTGAATGGCGTTCTGTGGTGGGATAGGGAACACCATTTGGCTCCAAGCCATTTGATAGATAAGCTAATTTTGTACTCTCAACATCATAAGCCCCAGGAGGCAATTTCTCAGCCATGTCTCTGACCTGGCAAAATAATGAAGTTAAGATTAATGTAGGTGTCTTGTATGGCAGGCAGACTGCAAAACAAACTCACAATGATAATCCAGTTCAGTCATCAAAAAGCCAAAATCAAGCAGAGTAAAGATGCTGAGAACCCAAACGGCCATTAAATGCACAGTTGGTCAACCATGTAATACATATATATAAAAGAGGAATTCTATATGAGAAAGTGCTAAACCTGTGCTGTAAGTGATTTTATTACTTCTTTTGCAGCTTTACATTTAGCAGATTCCTCTGCAGCCAAAACCGTTGCTTCCTGTGCTTTTCTAGTTGATTTCTGGAGCTCCAATTCTTGGAGTTCACACCGGCATGTGAGGTTCTCAACCTGAACATCATGAAATGAGGAATTGAAAGCATTAGAAAGATAAATAATTAGAATTTAATCCGAAATTAGGATAAAAGAAAGCTGCTCCACTTACCTGAGCTCGTAATTTGAGAACTTCTTGGCTTAGAAGTTCATTAGTTTTCTTCAGACTGTCTACAATGCTTTTGGAGAATGATTGTCCTGCCCTAGCAGGTGTTGGTGTCACTGAACGAGGAGGACTAGGTTTCCTTGAGAAAGGTGACACAGATCTTGAACTAACAGCAGATGATGTTAAAACCGGTTTTGGAAGTGCACGGCGCAGATCAGATGCAGTAGAAAAAACATCATCTTTTAGCTGTAATGAATAAAGTGGTTGTGAGGAGCGACCCAATGACATATCAGCTTTCTTTACTTGTTTGGCTGCTTTGTTATCTAATTGTTTAATCAAATCAAGATTTGAAGGCATTCCAGACTTGGCCAAGTGTAATTCAGCCTTATCCAACCTGTCCTTGTTCTCACCAGAGAGGCGTGGTCCAGCATTTTTCCTGTTACTGACTCCAGCCTCCAACACCTTAATCAGTTTGGTAAAACAGGAATCACATACACGATATGGTTTGTTTGGATTAGGTGCCAAAGCAGCCCTAATGACTTTTCTTGAAGTACATGAATGGCAATGCACAAGTCCACAATTGTAGCAATTATGTCTCTTCCTTGTGAAGCCAAATGTCTGTCTACAGGCTGAGCACTGAGACTGCTCAGCACTAGAGACCCACTTGTGAAGACAAATGGCTGCAGTGTAATGTGAACCACAAGCAATATATTTCACAATTCGATCCTTTAAAGCTTCAACTAAAGTTGGTGATTTGCAGTCTTCTATGTCTCCATGGCCCAACCTTCCGTTAGCTCCCTTACCCCATGTATAAACCTCATTCTTGGATGTCAACACAGCAACATGATATGCGCCACAAGAGATTTCTTCAACACATTCCCCTAAAAGTTTATCCTCTACTAAGCACGGTAGCTTTCCATCAGAATAAGGATTTCCAAGTTGACCATACACAGCACTTCCCATTGTGAAAACATGCCCAGAAGTGGTTAAACCAACGGTTAAACTATGCCCACAAGCAATTTTATGGAAGTCGTACTCAATTAGTGCTGACACACACATAGGTTGTAGTTGAGGCTCTTTGTCACCATGTCCAAGGCGATATTTATCTCCGTCTCCCCAAGTAAACAATTTTCCAGATGAAACACTAGCACTAGACTGTGACACAATGACCTCCACAACAGCAGCAGTGTGCCACACTCCACATGCAACAGCAATTGTCCTCAATCCTGATAGAGATGCAACCTCTCTTGGAAACAACACATTTTCCTTATCTCCATGGCCCAACACACCAAAAGTTCCATCACCAAATGTAAAGAGCTGCCCAGTTGATGTGATCAAGGCTGTATGCCATGGACCACAAGTTACTGTTTCCACTTGAAGTCCCTCCAGAGGACCTGATATTCTCTTAGGTATCCAGTGACTGACATCAGAGCCATGACCTAGAATTCCAGCATTATGGGTGCCATCTCCCCATGTATAAAGCTCACCAGCCGTGGTAACTGCACAAGTGTGGAACTCACCACAGGCAACAAAATCAATGCTGCAAAAGGATAAGGATTCCACTAGGCGAGGTTGAGTAACATCTTTCCCAACACCATGGCCAAGACGTCCACCAGATTCTTCACCCCATGTAAAAACTTCTCCTTGCCTAGTGACAAGGGCAGCATGCTTGACCCCACAAGCAATTTGGCACACATCCAGAAAGACATCAGATTCTAAAGGTCTTGGAAGAAGCACATCAGCTCTAGCACTCCAAGTACTAACATTTTTTTCAGGTCCAACCTTAACAATGCTATCACAAATTACCTCGCCCCATATATATACATCACCAAGAACATCATAATCATCTGTTGCAGAGCCATGACTAGAAGTGCTGGGGGCACTAGAAACACTAATCCTTAAAACATCTGAATTAGTAGCTTTTACTTGCAAGTTTTGCATAGTTGTACCCAAAGCTACATGTGAACTTCTAGAATCAGGTTGAAAGCGATTGGGAGAAACATTCAGGTTTGAACCAATGGAAGCCTCCACAGAGTTAATTTCCTTTGTAGCACTAACCGAGCTTGAGCTAGGACTGTCTTCTGTCAAATCCTGATTACCCTACAACCATTTGATCCAGGACATTTAGTCATACTTGAGAAAAAATGATCCAAAAATATGAATGTCATTAGCTGAAATCTTTACACATAAGGTTTTTGCAATAGAGATGTATTACTTTTCCCTATAATTCAAGTAGCATATTGTAGCATGGGTGTTATACATAAGCATATTGAGCTTCCATGTTTCTAAGTTGGGGAATTGAAAATTAAATAAGAAACCATATGATAGCTTAAGTGGAGTAGTGGACACGAGTTCATAATAGTCACTTAATAAAGAGTAATATAACCATTTTACTATTATAGGCATTGTGGATTAGAAGTTAAAACTTTAACCAAGCCATAGAAAAAGGAGCATGGGATAAGAGGGGGCCGTTAAACAAAAATTTTACACGGTTTCCTAAAGGTATAGTACTTTATAAAGGACAAGGATAGCAATATTACCATGTTGCAAGAAAAATTATAAAGTCAATCTAAAATTTCAGTTTCTTAATGAATCAACAATAGTGAAGTGTGATTGAATTTTTCTCTTGGTTATATAAGTAATGAACAACTTAAATGTGCTCAGAGCTTTGATAATTAACAAAAGAAGGTGTAAGAAATTCTGAATAGTTCTACTTCTCAATTGAAAGATACAAGCCCTAATTTATACAAAGAAGAAGATTGATTATAGGGAAGAGAATCCTATAATCAGGGAAAGTAAATAAAAGGATCACTAAACTAGGAAAGAATAAAATCATATCACTAATTACAGATCCTAAGAATATATGCATATCAATCTAATATTTTCACATATCAATTCTAATATTTCCACACTCCCCCTCAAGCTGAGCTGTATATATTATACAAGCCCAGCTTGGAATTGAATTCTTCAAAGCTCCTTCTAGGTAGAGCCTTCGTAAGGATGTCGGCAATCTGTTTCTTTGTAGGAATGTAGTTGAGTTCAATGATCCTCGAATTCACCTTCTCATAAATGAAGTGCCTGTCTATTTCAACGTGCTTTGTTCTATCGTGATGAACTGGGTTCTTAGCAATGCTGATGGCAGCTTGACTATCACTGTACATTTTGAAAGATGTAGGAGCTTCAATTTTCAACTCATTCAACAACCTTTTAATCCACATCCCCTCACATATACCTAATGCCAGTGCACGGTATTCTGATTCTGCACTACTCCGAGAGACAACTGACTGTTTTTTGCTGCGCCAGGTGACTAGATTTCCCCATACATAGGTACAGTAACCACTAATCGATCGTCTATCAGTCAACTCTCCAGCCCAACTAGAATCCGTGTAGACTTCTAGGTCTCGGTTGTCATGTTTTCTAAAGTGCAAACCAAGACCTGGTGTCATTTTGAGATACCTTAGAATACGATAAACAGCTTCCAAATGCTCCTCATTAGGGTTATGCATATGTTGACTTACAACACTAACAGAGAAAGCAATATCAGGTCTGGTGTGGGAGAGATAAATTAGTTTTCCCACTAATCTTTGATAACTCCCCCTCTCTACTGGAATTGGTTCCCCACTCCGATTTGTTTTTAAGTTAGGGTCCATTGGAGTATCTGCTGGCTTACTTCCAAGCATTCCAGTTTCGTTTAGAAGATCTAGGATGTACTTTCGTTGAGATATAACAATCCCTTCCTTAGATCGAGCTACCTCCATCCCAAGAAAGTATTTGAGAAATCCTAGATCTTTGATCTCAAATTCTGATGCAAGAAACTTCTTGAGGTTTGAAATCTCACCTGAATCATCTCCAGTTAGGATTATGTCATCCACATAGACAATGAGAATTGCTAGCTTTCCTGTTGAAGAGATTTTAACAAACAGGGTATGATCAGCTTGACACTGAGTGTATCCAAATTTTACAATTGACTTTGCAAACCTATCAAACCATGCCCGAGGTGATTGTTTCAAGCCATAGAGAGATTTTTGTAGTTTGCATACCAGTCGTGCATTGGAGTTCTTTTTCAAACCTGGTGGAATTTCCATATAAACTTCTTCTTCCAATTCTCCATTTAAGAATGCATTTTTTACATCTAGCTGATATAAAGGCCAATCACAATTCACAGCAAGTGATAACAGAACTCTTACTGTATTGAGTTTGGCAACAGGAGCAAAGGTCTCTTGATAGTCAACACCATATGATTGAGTGAACCCCTTGGCAACCAACCGAGCCTTGAATCTGTTGATACTCCCATCTGAATTATACTTGACAGTGAAAATCCACTTACATCCAATTGCATGTTTTCCTTGAGGTAACTCAACAAGACGCCATGTACCATTCTTCTCAAGAGCATTTATTTCCTCATTGACGGCAACCTTCCATTTGGGATCTCTTAGTGCCTCATAGATGTTTGTGGGAATCTGGACAAGATCAAGAGAGGCAACAAAGGCTCGATACATAGGAGTTAATTTCCCATAAGCAACATACCTTTCTATTGGGTGACTAGTGCATGTTCTAACACCCTTTCGTTGAGCAATAGGCAAATCAAGATCATCAATAGCAGTAGATACCAACTCATGGGTCATAGAGTCCTTACCTTCATGATTTTCAAGGTCAAGTAAGCTCGAATGTGTGTTTGAACAGTCCTGGCTTTGCATGTTAGCCTCTATATTTTGAAGTTTTCTCCTTCTATAAACACGGAGTTCTGGTGCTTGAGGAGGTGAATTTGGTAGAGTGTTTTCTGAGGATGGATGGTTGTTTATTAGAGGCGAAGATGGGTTGATTGTAGGAAGAGAGGATGACGGGTGATTGACCATGTTTTCTGGAGTCACATCTGATGAAAGAGGTAATAGAGAACTGGATGATGTAGGTGATAAATCAGGTTGAGTTGGAGTAGGTTGATGCTGGTCTGGTAGGACATTAGGTGAGGGAAAGGTAGCCAGATTATCTTGAAGTGTTTCCCAAAGTTGATATTCGCTCAAATGCTCCCCCTGAATACCAGATTTGGGAAAGAATGATTGGTGTTCAAAAAAAGTGACATCCAAAGTATGATAAACTCTTTTTGTGACTGGAGAGTAACATTTGTACCCCTTTTGAGTATTAGAATACCCAATGAAGATGCATCTGTGTGATTTGGGGTCAAGTTTTGTTCTTTTGTGATCATAGATATGGACAAAAGCAGTACAACCAAAAATTTTGAGTGGCAATTCCGAGGAAAAAACTGAGAGGTGAGGGAATGCTTGTAATAACAAGGATCGTGGTGTCTTGAACTTTAAGACACTACTAGGCATACGATTTATGAGGTAAGTGGCAGTAAGTACAGCTTCCCCCCAAAAGTGTTTAGGCACATGATTTGAAAACATGATGGACCGAGAAACTTCAAGGAGGTGCCTATTTTTTCTCTCAGCCACTCCATTTTGCTGAGGGGTGTTGACACAGGAACTAATATGGACAATTCCCTGATCTAACAAGTATGGACCAAGAATTGAGTTGTAGTATTCTGTCCCATTATCAGTTTTCAAAACTTTAACTTTTTGTTTGAACTGATTTTGAATCATAGAATGAAAAGCTTTAAAAATTGATGCAGTTTCTGATTTTTCTTTCATGAGGAAAGTCCATGTGGTCCTAGTGTGGTCATCAATGAAAGATACAAACCATCTAGAACCATTAACATTTTTCACCCTTGAAGGCCCCCAAATGTCACTATGTATCAACGAAAAAGGTTGAGAAGGTTTGTAAGGATTGCTTGAATAAATGCTTCGAGTATGTTTTGCAAGTTGACACACTTCGCAATGAAAAAGCTTGGGTTTTTTATTGATAAATAAACCAGGAAACAGTTTTTTAAGATAAACAAAATTTGGATGTCCAAGGCGAAAATGCCACAACATAACTAGACTCTCATTGGAAACAGAAACAGAATTGAAACCATAATTTGACTTGGGGAAATGTTTATTTTCAGGAGTGTTTTTGAGAATATAGAGACCACCGCAAATTTCAGCACTGCCAATCACCTTCTCCGAGCCCACAACCTGGTTCTGATAATATAGAGACCACCGCAAACTCTCTAGTGAGTTTACTGATGGAAAGAAGGTTGCAACTTAATTTAGGAACAAAGAGAACAGATGAAAGAAAAAGTTCATCAGTTAATTTGACAGATCCTGTTCCTATCACGTTAGAGAGGGATCCATCAGCAATTCTGATCATGGTGGGATTGGTACAAGGTTTGAATGTATGAAAAACCTTTAAATCACCTGACATATGGTCGGATGCCCCGGAATCCACAATCCAAGGACTTGTGTTATTGGAATTTGCAGCAAATGCGTGAGAAGTGGTACCTTGATGACTCATCATACTAACATGTGCTTCAGCGGAAGGTGGGATTGACTGTTGTGCAACAGATATCTGCCCAAAAAGCTTTTGCAGCGCCTCAAGCTGAATTTTTGAGAAAGGACTGACTCATTGGGTGATGTTTCTGAGGTTGCAGCCACATTAGCACGTGCTTGATCAGTACGGGGTTTAGGTTTCCAATCAGCAGGCTTACCGTGAATTTTTCAGCAAGTCTCACGATAATGTCCAGCCTTTTTGCAGTGCTCACACCATGGTCTGCCCCCTTTTTGAGGCCTACTATCTTGAGAGGAAGTATGAGTGAGCATTGCAGAGATTTCTGAGTGTGAAGTTGTGTCAGCCATCATCAATTTTTGTCGGCTTTCCTCCCTTCTAACTTCAGCAAAAACTTCACGAATGGGAGGAAAAGGTCGGACACTCATGATTCTCCCCCTGACCTGATCTAGGTTCTTGTTTAAACCTAATAAAAATCTGAAGGTTCTCTTTTGCTCAACAATATTTTTGTAAAGTGCAGAATCATCAGGACACTTCCAAGAGTATACTTCAAACATATCAAGGTGTTGCCAGTACCTTGTTATGGTGTTGTAATATTGTGTAACGTTGGAGTCCCCTTGCTTTAACTCAAATAGCTTGGTTTCAGTTTCAAACAGTTCTGAAGTGTTTTCAGAACTGGAATGTGTCACGTGCTCCATCCCAAATTTCTTTGGCTGTACGATAGAGGAGAAAATTTTCTCCAATCTCAGAAAGCATGGAGTTGATTAACCAGGACATTACCATATGGTTTTCAGATTTCCATTGGCGATAGCTAGCATCAGTTTCCTTAGGCTTCACGATTTCACCAGTGAGGTATTCGTCTTTCCCTCTGCCAGAGACATACATGAGAACTGACTGGGACCATTGAAGGTAGTTGTGGCCGTTGAGCTTATGAGAGGTGATTGGGAGAGGAGAACTATCAAGGACTTGAGGAAGGTTAGGATGATTTGTGACAGTTGAGTGAGAAGGATGTGATGACCCATCTAAAGGTGAGGAATCAACTGGAAGGTTTTCAATAGGTTTAGACATAGTTGCTGGAGAGATTTGGTGAGGGAGGATAGAGAAGAGCTAGGGGTTTAGAGTCAGGCTCTGATACCATGTAAGAAATTCTGAATAGTTCTACTTCTCAATTGAAAGATACAAGCCCTAATTTATACAAAGAAGAAGATTGATTATAGGGAAGAGAATCCTATAATCAGGGAAAGTAAATAAAAGGATCACTAAACTAGGAAAGAATAAAATCATATCACTAATTACAGATCCTAAGAATATATGCATATCAATCTAATATTTTCACATATCAATTCTAATATTTCCACAGGTAAGTTGAGTTACATCAACAAAGTAGAGGCCTCCATCACTCCATCCATCAATTTTTGAACGCCCACCTAGCCCTGAAGATATCAATGCTCTCAGGCCAGTTATCCAGGCCTCAGCCTCAACTTTGTCCTTGCAAATCTGATATTGCATGATACATGTACAACAAATAAAAATCACGTGAAACTTGGATACCACAAAGCATAAGACAACTGAGAATTCATCACTTACCAGATCAAGGGACCTTTTTCCGTTGTTGTATATGAGGGAGAAAGATAGGTAGTCCTTTTCAGGACACAAATACCTTTGGAAAACAGCCTGAAGCAGAATATTCAAAGTTATAGAGAAATTCATAGGCATGGCCAAATTTTTCTTACAGCTAGAATGAAGAGAATGCTATATTTCATATATGATGAGTGATACATACAACTATTTATACATGTAGAAGAATATAGAAAATGAAATATTATCCCTACAATTATGCTATCCCTAAGATCATGCTAACTATCCCTAAGATCATGTAATCACAATCTCTCCATATTTACAATTCATAACACTCCCCTCAAGCTGGAGCATAGATGTTAATCATGCCCAACTTGTTACATAAATAATTAACCCGACTACCATTTAAAGCTCTTGTAAAAAGATCTCTGAGTTGTTCTCCAGTCTTTACAAATCCTGTAGATATCAAGCCTTGTTGTATTTTCTCACGAACAAAAAAATGGAGAGAACCTAGAAGGAGCCTAACAAAAACCAGAGTCTTATACCGGAGAGGAAACTTGTCCAAACTGAGCCCACAATCACGCTGTATGAACCCAGGCGACCCAAGAGCACTCGACCAAAAAAAAAAAAAAAAAAATTCTAGCCACCACAGAAGGCTCACGCGCCGACAGCGAAGTGTTCCAGCAACACGTGTGGTACACGTGGGCTGGCCACCAAACTTTTCAAGCAAGGTCGCCAGACGACGTCGCACCTTCCTAGGTAGGCGGTGACTATGTTGAAACATGACAGTCGGAACCCTACCATAACAGTATGCCAGAAAAAGAAAAAAAAATAGACTCTTTTCCTTCTCTCTCAACCTGGTTCTGATACCATGAAGAGAATGCTATATTTCATATATGATGAGTGATAGATACAACTATTTATACATGTAGAAGAATATAGAAAAGGAAATATTATCCCTTCAATTCTGCTATCCTATCCCTAGGATCATGCTAACTATCCCCAAGATCATGTAATCACAATCTGTCCATATTTACAATTCATAACATCAAAAAATAAAGCACATGTTATGTTGCAGAAAAATCTTTTCTGTTTTCCAATTATAGTTTTCAAGAATTTTTCAAAGTTTTCATTTCCATTGGGAAAGGGGTCAAATACACCCCTAAACATTATAGGAAAGTGCAATTAGGCTCCCAAACTTTAAAAAAGTTCAATTAAATACTCCAACTTCATAAAATCAATCAAATAAGTCCACTTAGCAGGTAACCAATAGGTTACCGGTAACTATACAATCGTTGACCACCATCACCGCCGTTGACCGCCATCTTCAACAGTAGAAAAAAAAAAAAAAAAAAAAAAAAAGACACTGGAAACCTAAAACGGCCGCCGACGTCCAACGGCCTCCTCCAGGAAGAAGGCGACCGGAAAGCGCTAGCCGGCAGCCAATTTAACCATGTGATGTTTAATTACCGGGTATTACCAATAAGTGACCGGCTATTGGATCTGAATGCATTAAAATGATAAATTTATGTGTTTAATTGAACTTTTTTAAAGTTTGAGGGCCTAATTGCACTTTCCTATAATGTTTAGGGGTGTATTTGACCCTTTTCCCTTTTCCATTAGAGAACTATGAAATATGTTCAAATTCAACAATTCCAATATATAAAAATACAAAGTTATTTGAAATCTAGTTATTTCCTTCATTTAAATATACCAATACATGTAGTGACCGGTAATGACTATGATATTGAGAAGTGTTGGTGGGGGTACAAAGATAGTAGTTGGTGAAAGTAAGCAATGACTAATAAATGTAGTAATGGTGGTGGTGGTGGTAGGCAGGCGTAAGGATACATAGTTACATTGCAATAGGGATAAGCAGACACGTACTAGATGGAAGTAACCAATGGTAGAAATGTAGATGATGACAAGAATAGGTATGTTGTAATGGATCATAAACGGGGTAAGTAGGTAAGTGAAAGTGTGAGTACATAAAATAAGTGGGTAGAAATTCATTAGTAATGGTAAGTGAAAGTGTAACTACATAAACATGTCGGGCTTGGGCTGATCCCAGGTCTAGGCTAGCATGGACTTGGGCCGGTCTCGTGCCGGGCCTAGCCTAGGCCAGTCCCGTGCCTGGGCTCGAGCCATTCTAGGGCTAGGCTTGTGATTTTTTTTATTTATTTCTTTTTTATATAAAATAATTGAATTTTTTATTTGAAATAATACTTGAGACAATAATGCTAATTAATATTTTTATTTAAAATAATATTTGAACCATTCATTTCAAAATTAAAACTTAATAATATTCTCTACTAACTTAAAATGCCTTTAAAAAAACTAAAATGTCTTTTTTTTAAAAATTATGTTATTTCATGATTGTGCACACAATATTTTGAAGTCAATTTCTTTTGTTTGTTTTTGTTTCTATTGTATCCAAGTCATTTAGCACATTTTCAAATCGATTTAACAAAATCACTCAAACTTTGAAATCCTTCTTGAACACAAACTTAGAACATGGGTACAATATATAATATGCAATAATTGATAATTAACAAGTAAATGTAAGGTTTCAAGTAAAAATCTATAGATCTAGTATTACCAAAATACAATTAGGCCATTGAACTAAAAAAAACAAGCAATTGAGTCTCTGAACAACACAAAATGATGCAATTGAACCAAAAGTGACCTGTTTACCCGTTAGTTTGCTGACTTAGAGGTTATCATATTAAAATAATAATTTTTTATTTGATTTTAATAATTTTAAAGAACAAAATTTAAATAAAAAAATGGGAGGGGAGGGGAGGGGGGGGGGGGGGGTGGCTTCCTCTACAGCATGGAGACGAAGAGACCTTTTTGTCTCCATGCCGAAGGAGACGAAGAGGAGGCTCCAGGCAGCCTGGAGACTTACCCACCACCACCCCCCCCCCCCTTTCTTTTTTTTTTTTATCATTTTGTTATTTAAAATTATTAAAATTATTAAAATAAAATAAAAATAAAAATTATTATTTTAATATGATAACCTCCACGTCAGCCAACTAACAAGTAAATAGGTCACTTTTGGTTAAATTGCATCATTTTGCATTGTTCAAAGACCCACTTGCATGTTTTTTTAGTTCAATGGCCTAATTGCATTTTGGTGTGTAGTTCGATGGCCTATTTGATCCTTATTCCCTTTATTTTTAAATTCAAACTCATAAGGGCCAAAGTCTGGGACTGGGCCGTGCATGAACCCGGTCCTGGGCCAGTTTCGAGCTGGGCCAGGATTTTTTTAATAGGACATGGGCCGACCAACCCTGCACAAGCCGGTCCTGGTCCGAGCTAGGCCTGACCTAGGCACGGTGAAGCCCAGGCCCAGTTTTTTCCGGGTCAATCAAGGCTGGTTCGGTCCTGAACCGGCCCCTGGCCACCTCTAGTATAAAGGTAATGATGATCATAATTGATAATTGAAGTTATGCATCATTTTGTAATTGGAAGATTTGAAAAACACTAAAAATGTGATTTCAAGGTTCCTTTTTAAGTTGGAAAATAGTGTTTTCAATTTTGTGCTTTGTAATTTAGAAAGTAGTTGATTTTGAATAGAGAACTCTGTTTTCAATTTTTCAATTTCTGAAAATTTTTCGAGTTAATAAAATTCCCTCTCTATAAAGGGGCAAAAAAGAAATGATGAAGAAAAGAAACACTTTATTGCTTCGAGGCTGTTTAAGAGAGGAGGGTGAACACTGCAGAGAAACAAATAGAGTCATGGAATTTCAAGACATAACTACAATGATAAAAAGCAGAACAGCAACAAAGAGGATTTTGAAAATCTTACAGTTCTTTGTCCAGCAATAATTCTTGAAACAGAAGCTAATTTCAAACTTCTTTCACCACTGCTACTTATCCAAATCAAAGATGATTCATCCTACAGAATGCATATTAAGACCAAAATTAGCATACAGATATGCACAAAGAAAGTGTATCTGTAGATATTGTAAGCAAAATCATTGCTATATGCCTATATTGCATATTATGTTTGTTAAGAGTCTCACATTGAAAATATAAAAAAGAACATATGGGTTTATAAGGTCATGGGTTAAATTAACTTATTGAGTGGATTCAATCTTTTAGTGTGGTTTGGCCCATGTGCATTATAGCCCAGTTGAGTGACCTGGGCCCAATATTAGAATATTAGAATATTAGATTATAACATGGTATCAGAACTTGTTCGGTCCACTCTGTGTTCACCCAGTTGTGGTATTGCATATTATGTTTGTTAAGAGTCTCACATTGTAAATATAAAAGAGAACATATGGGTTTATAAGGCCATGAGTTAAACTAGTTAATTGATTAGATTTAGTCTTTTCGTGTTGTTTGACCCATATGCATTATAGCCCAATTGAGTGACCTTGGCTCAGTCTTAGATTATAAGAATGTCTAAGCAGTTGAGCCAAAATGAACAGGTACTCATAACACAAACAGAATATAAAATAATTGTACTACAAAAAGTTAATTTACCATAATTGGATGCCAAGATTACAAATTGAGAATAATGACATAAAAAATTGAATGAAAAGACAGGCTATATTTCAGCAATTTCCATAGGTAAAACAGAATGCATTGAGTGAACAGCATGAACAAGAGCTACAGGTTCTAAACTCATGGGTGAAAATGTGGACCCCAGATTGCAGATCAAGACAGAAAGTAAAGAAAGCCAATTTTATAATTTAAGAACACCGCCACGTTCAGTTTATTTGAGCTAGTAATTACCTCCTCATTTTGGATGATCTTTTTTTTCCAGAGGCAAATTAGACCAATCATCAGACAAGATATGCTTTATGCAGTTATGCTAGCAAGTTTGAGAGGTGAAGCAAAATGCCCATTAAGATGGTAGCAGCTAAGATGGAAATGTAAACATATAAGCCTACTTTAAAAGCAAATAACATTGAACAATTGTAAAGTTGAGAAAATTTATTAAGGCATCTATTCCACTTATTACCAAAAGATGCGTACTACATCTAATTATAGTTGCCAACCACTCATTCAGAAATTGCAGTCAAATTAAGAATGTGATTCACAAAGTTTAGAAATTGCAGTCAAATTGTTGTGGCTGTGTTATGGAAACCCTGAATACATATGAGAATTGTTAAAGGAAAAGGATTATATATATATATATATATATATATATATATATATATATATATATATATATATATATATATATATATCACTGTTGCAAAAATCGCGCCTAGGCGCCGACTAATCGGCACCTAGGCGCTCTAGGCGGTCCCTAGGCGCCTAGAGGGCGCCTAGCAATTTTTTCAACATTGATATATATATATATATATATATATATATATATATATATATATATATATATATATATATATATATATAGGCATTTCAGAACTATAGCGCAAATTATGTTGTGCAACCAAATGCACCATGCGCATGGTGCATACGATGCAAAACGACGTCGTTTTGGTTAAAAAACGCGCGTCCCACTTAAAGAAGAAATCAGGTTCGATTCCCGGCAATAGCATTTTTATATATCCATAAGTTCATAACTATATATCCATAAATTCATAACTATATATCCACAAATTCATAACTATATATCCACAGTGAATGAATGAAGTAAATATCTACAATGAATGAACTAAATATCCACAATGAATTAACTAAATATCCATAAATTCATAACTATATATCCACAATAATGCTATTGACGAGAATCGAACTTGAATTTTTTTTTTTTAAGTGGGACGCGCGTTTTTGGTCAAAACGACGTCGTTTTGCATCGTATGCACCATGCCCATGGTGCATTCGGTTGCACAGCATAACTATTGGAACTATAGGTGCAATTGTCCTCTCTCTCTATAGAGAGAGAAGTAGATGGGCTTAGCCCATCACTAAGACCCTTGGGTTAGTTGATGTTGGAAAATTTATAGAGAAATTAATATTCATCATTCATGACTTTATGTGCATGTGCTCTAACGTTCATGTGATTATTTGAAGTTGTGAAAAATATAAATAATCACATATAACATTAGATGTTAGATAAGAATTTATAATCGTGAAGTATATATTTAATCACTATAAAGCTTGTAAATTACAAGGATGTATATATATATATATATATATATATATATATTCATATATATAAACTACAGCTGTAAGTAAGGTAATCCAATTAATTTGGACTAGAGTTGTAATCAATTTGGGCTGATTACTTAGTCCATAATTAAGCTGGGTAAGTCCAAAATCTATCTCATTGTTGGGCTGAAAATTGTTTCAACTTGGGTCAGATTGAATTTAGGTACAAATTGAACAAAATTTGTACCAAGATTTAATGTCCAATTCAGACATGGATTCAAAAGTCAAAATTTGAATAAGACTTACGCTTCAATTTGAAATTGAAAATTCAACTGAATTTAAATTGCTAACTGCCATTTGTTTTTACTATAAAAGGCAGTGTATGCACGCATCGAGGACAAAGCAAAGTATGCAGTACAGCAATACAGCATATGAGGAAATGGTTAGTAGAAAAATATTTTCCTATTTCCTATCTATGGAAAATAGATTTTCTTATTTTCTAGTTTTTCCAAGATTGATCTAATTGAAGTATTAGTACTTCTTAATAAAACACTTTGACAAATATGCTCTCGTATTCACCCTTGTGATAGAATCTGTCAAGCAACTAAATTCAATTGTTACACCTTCATTGTATCTCAAAAGTTCTTATCTGATTATCTTGTTGCTTTGGTAAGGGATTGATAAGAAACCTTTAGGAAAGTGAACCTAGTCCATGCATTGAAAGTGTTTACCCAGTTTTTATCCTCTTAACCCTTGTTCATACTAGAGCAAAAATATCCAACAGTTAATATCAACACTAAAATCCTACGGTTAGGGTTAAGACCAACAGAAATAAAGCCAAATTTAAAAAATAAATAAATAAAATCATAGCAAAGGGCTGGAGTGCTGGACAGCAGGGATATTTCTTGCAACATTACCAGGTCAGAACCCAGGATATTGTATTGTAAAAAAATTCTGAAGTAAAATATGAAAGCAAACTACACTACTATAGTTTAAGCATTTAAACAAATTCATAGAAACAATTTGACAATAGAGATCATTTTTAGAAAACACTATCCAGCCAAAACCTCCTTAACAGTAATCCTGCCATAGCTAAAAACCACAAAATTATTACAAAAAACACACTTGCCGTAGCAATGATGTTTTTTGTTCACTATTTATATATCCCTTCAAGAATCTAGACTGGATCCTTTTGTAACAATGTCAACATTTTTCAAAATGCAAACCAACACTATATTATTTTACACAATCACAGCAGAGAAAATTATAATAAAAGATAGCTAGCTTATAGTCATAAACAAATAATACCAAAGCCAAAACTCTGATGGTTTAAGATATAGAAAGCTGGTACTAACTCATAGATCATTAATAGTTAATTCTACTTCTGATCCTTCTAGTATAGTGGCAATTCTATACTAGCCGAAGACCTCCAATTTTGAAACCTTTACTCCACTACTTTCAGAATTATTCCAAATTCATCCCAAAATGTCCATAATGCATTCACATGTAGAAAGGTGAAATTGGTGAAATGTCCACAAAGTGAATGCATTTAGAATATTTTGCACTGGATATGGAACAATTTTGTAAATACAGGGACTAAATGTGTTAAAATTGAAGACATAATTTGGAATTTTTAGTATACCAAGGGACAAAAATATGGAATTAACACAATCACTGACCATATACATAGCAATTACAATAGCAAAGATTGACTTGGAATTTGGAAATATTTAACTACATTACACTATACCCCATCTATGTTATATGTCTTAAGTGAATATTATTCCTAAGCAAGCAAAACCTAGGGAGGAAAATGTCTGAATATAAATCTTAGGGGGTGTTTGGTTCAAGGAATGCCAGATTACTTTAGGAATGTCAAATTCCTGGGAATGTGCTTAATTTGTGTTTGGTTAAAATTACAGGAATACAATATTATCTTGTTTGGTTGAAGATTATGTTTTATATCATAATAATCATTTTACTTTAGTGCCCTAAACTTATTTTCATGCAATGTAATGTATGTACACACAAAATACAAATGGCTACCAATACCCAACCAATATTCTGATGCACAAAAAGTTTAGGTTTATTTTACAGCAGCAATAAAAATATATCCTTACATAAATAGGCTTGTTATGAAATAAAAAATTTAATAAAAAGGAAAAAAAATGGAAGTAGAAAGTGAAACTTCAATTTCAGAATGGTAGGTTTGAGTTCATGTTAAGATTTCAAGACTTCAGAGAAAGTGTAGATTATTCCCTTAAGAGGCAATAAAAAAGTTGGTAATCTGTCTGAGTAACCTCTACGAACGTAATTTGTTATTTGTTGTAATATACTAATATAAATCATTGAAACAAAAGAATTGAATATGAACCAAGGTAAAGGGAAAATAGAGGAAATATGCATTGAAATCCCAAAATACCTAAGCTTGGGGAAGAAATCACATCCCCAGGAAAATGGTAAAAAATCTGATGTGCCAAGCATTTTACATTCCTTGGGAAAAACACAAAGCTAGAACCAAAAATGGGAATATAGGATTCCAATGCACAAATTCCCTTGGTAATTTTATATGACTTGAACCAAACACCCCCTTAAGGGCTCATAAAAATATATCAATAGCTATGAGTCATCAGTGCAGTTTATAAGAGGTACAACTATACTGTTCCCATACTTAAGGGTTATCCCTTTTAATTCAAAGCATAGCTTGCAAAACTTAAATAGATATAAGTGAATAACACAAGAACTATACAGAAACCATGTTACAAAACTAAGGCTCAGGCAAGTGAACATCCCTTGTTCAGTTTACCTCTGAACATGATTTTAAAATAATTCAAGTATAAAATGGCAGTTTTTTTTATTAGTTCAAAACACTAATTATTTCTATTTTTGAAAAACAACTATAGATTTATAGTCCATAGGGATAATTCTAGAAGACAGTCACAATTAAAACAAGACAACTAACTTCCAAGAAGAAATTAATAACTATTTATCTCACTGTGCATAATTTCTGTTTTCAATTCAACCATGCAGCATATTTAAAGTGTAGTGACAAAGATAATAACTATATTTAAACTAGTACTTGAAAGTGGAAATAATCATGAATATTTGCATGTCCCTAATGCAAAGTGAATTGAAGGGTAGCCAACTCCAGTAATCAGCTATACCATTTATTAGTGAACAAGCACACTATTGCAACCATAAAATGCATGTTAGGTGTATTGTGTATAACATGTTCCATTCAACTTACATGTGAAAGTCTGAATGGACAGAACTTAGGTTTTCCCTTGCGCCCATATTTCAAAAGCTGAGCGCCTTTCTTTAAAGCAACAAATGCCTGTACACAGTAAGATAATGAGATGAATAAAATGTAGGATATGATTGTGAGAAGCACACTGCATAAAGAACACTTGAACCCAGAAAAGTTATAGGCATAAGAATGCAGAGCACAGCTTTAGGAGGTTGAGTAATAGCATAAAGAATAAAGTCAATAAACTATTAACAGCAGCAATTCTATACTAGGAGTATCCCTTCCATTCCAGAAACAAAACAAAAAAAAAAAAAAAAAAAAAAAAAAAAAAAAAAAAAAAAAAAAAAAAAAAAGAAGAAGAAGAAGAAGTTGCCCTCTAAAGCATAAAATCTGGACTTTGCTATTGGGAAGATCACAAGTAATTGGAACCTACCTGACGTGTTCCAGGAACACTGAACAATAAACACCATATTTATTAGAATAGTGGCAATAACCATTTTGATAATTGAGTGGATAAATAAATTCAGTTGGAGATAAACAGCACATTAGCAGAAAAGTGGCCATTTGAAGATGAAACATATTAAAAAAAAATGGTGTAAATAACATTTACACTATTTCCTTTCATCCAACTAATTTTGGGCAATGCTTCTTGACTACTAAAGGTTTGTTATGCAAGCAATAACTTATACATATCACAACAATGGTTATTAGCCATTCTTAAGATTCAGTGCATGGTTATTGTCAGCTGGAGAATATGCAGCATATTAACAAAAAAGTGGCATTCCCAGATGGAACATATTCAATAAGTGCACATACAGAGTAGCCATTTACAAGTTCTCTTGCCTTTACATCTCAGAATCTTACTAACTTTGGACAAGTCTACAAAAGGTTTGTTCTATAACATGGATGAATCTTGTATTGTAACACCATCTCATACACTCAGCACATGCATATGCTCCTCTATCAAAATATTTGTCATTTTCACTACAAAAACTATAGTTCTCAAAATGTAAATGTAAATGTGAATTGGAAGTGGGTCTCCAGTGGTTGAAAGCACAGCAATGGAACCTATAAAAATTTCCTTGCCATGTCCACAGCATAATTAAAATAAAAAAAAATAAAAAAAAAATCATTTAATATTGTGCTTAGAAATAGTTCGACAGTACATTTTAGTAGCATCAAGCACCAGTCCATTTCATATAAAACAAGCAGAGTGAAATCCACTTCACAAGTTTAAGGTACTGTACAGAATTTCACATAATGACCATTTTATTTCATTTCATTTCGAAAGTTTTATCTGAAATCCCAAATTATAGGATAAAGTTGTTCAAATTCCCAATGGTACATCACCATGACAATTCAAAACAAACAAACCAAAAAATTTGACATGACCGCATCTTCACATTGAAGATTATACTCGCCTGCTCGATGTCACGGTTGCCATTACTGTAGCTAACAAGATCTGCCATTCCATGTGAAAGCACAAGCCGCTCCGCACCACTGCCTCCGACACCTTCCCCGCCCAAAACCTCCGGTCATCATCAACTCCTCCACCGGCGGCGACAACGAGCACGGCACCGTCCAGCCCGCACACTACCATCCAAACGAAAAAATAAAATAAAACCAAGCCCTCACCTATCTCCTAATCAAATTAACAAAACTAACCTCCAAATTCCAACTCCAAATAAACCCTAGAAATCCTCCGGATCTAGAGAACTCCAACGGACAACTCTACCAGCTTGTACCCTAGCGCCTCCGTTCAAGGCTCGAAGTCAAAGCGCAGTCCATCATTGACTCCCTTCCGTTTGAATAAATTACGGCGGCTCGGACCGAAAACCGAGCCTTTACCAGCTCCACGGAGGTAGTATCGGCAGCTTCCTCTCGGAAAATTGAAATATCCAGCAACGGAAATGTGCATATATAGAGAGAGAAAGAGAAGAAAAGTGAGTTCTAGAGAGAGAATAGTTTCCGGCGAACAGTATTTAATTCAAATAGAGTCAAAGATTAGGAAAAAAGAACGGGGAAATCGTCAGAGGAAAGGAAAGAAAGCACTGTTAAACTATGTATAAATGTGTTTTGAGACATTTTCCAATGCATTCCTTTTGCAGTTCTCGCTTTTTTATCCTTTTTGTTTTCCCGAAAAGAAGGAAACTTGACGTGTCATTTGTTACTTTTTACTTTTTTTTTTAAGGGTGCAGATTGAAAAAAAAAAATGAGTTCTGAAAAATAAGTTATTTTTTAAAAAATATTTTTATTTTTGATATTTGATTGCATTATAGAAAATTATATTGGTATATTGGTTCATTTTTGGAAATGAGCGTAATTGTAAATTAAACATTTTAATTATTTTGTTTAGAATATAATAACATTTATAATAATATAAATGGTGGTAGTGGTGGTGGTGGTGTGGTGACGGTGGTTGCGGACTTGTGGTGGTGGGTGTGGTGGTTTGGCGGCGGTGGAGGTGGTGGTGACGTGGTAGTGTTGGTGGTGGTGGTGTTAGTGGTGGTGTTAGTGGTGATTGTGGTGCGTGGTTATAATGGTAGTAGTGTGGTAATGGTGGACTGGTGGTAGTGGTAGTGATAGTGGTGATGGTGGTTTGGTGTTGGTATGAAAATTGGAAATGACTTCTCTCATAAAATAGGGAAAGTCATTTGTCAAGAAAATAATGGTTTTTTCCATTGACTAAACGCTCATTTTCATTTGACTAACATTTTTCACTCTTTACCAAACACGGAAAATTCGAAAAATAATTTCCAAAAGTCATTGTATGAGTTTCCAAACACACCCTTAAAAGAAAAACAAACACAAACCTTATATTAAATCTTTAACAAAACATTATAAAGAAAATGAGGAGGGATATCAAAGCTCGAGCTAGGCTATGAGCCACCTGGTTTGCAAGACGCTTAGCAAAAGAGGTAGACACATTGGTGGTTGTGGTGTTAGTGGTGGTAGTGATGGTGGTGGTAGTGTGGTAGTGGTGGTGTGGAAATTGGAAAATGACTTCTCCAAAAAAAAATAAAAATAGGGAAAGTCATTTTCCAAGAAAATGATGATTTTTTCCTTTGACTGAATACTCATTTTCCTTTGACTAACATTTTTCACTCTTTACCAAACAGAAACTCGGTCCGAGTTTCCAACACACCTTAAGGGTTCGTTTGAAAACTTAGAAAATGATTTCCAGAAAATGACTCATTTTCTGGAAATATTTTAATTTTCTAATGCTTGGCTAAATGTCAGAAAGCTATCTTTTTTGTTTTGGCTGAAAGTTAAGAAATTGCATTTTTTCTATTTGGTTTATTTTCCTGAAAATGAACATATTATTTGTTATAATAATAATGATGATGATGATGACGATGACGACGACGATGATGATGATGATGGAGGATATGGTGGTGGTTGTGGTGGTGTTGGTGATAGTGGTGGTGGAGCTGGTGGTGTGGTAGTGGCGACATCAGTGGTATTGGTGGTAGTGGTGTGATGTTGGTGGTAGTGGAGGTGGTGATGGTATTGGTGGCAGCGGTAGTGGTGGTGGCAAGGCCGAGCCTATAGTTTTTAGAAGTTAACATAAGTTTTTATAACTAAATTTTAAATGTTATATACAAGTACAAAAATACTAATGTAAACTAAATTGAAATAAAATTTGAAAATTTTCAACATTTTACAAATACAATACTAATACAAAACTAATCATGACAGAAAACTTCTATGTGTTTTCCTAGATGCAAAGTCATCAATGACATCTTCAAGACTAATATTGTATAAGATAGCATTCTCAATACACAATATTATCCATCCATTTAATATTTCTTGTGACATTGAAGATCTTAGGTATGTTTTCAATAATTTTAATTTTGAGAAACTCCTTTCCGCAGAAGCTACAGTCACAAGTATAGTTAGGGTGTGTTTGGAAACCCGGAAAATGATTTCCAGAAATCATTTTCCGGGTTTTCAGTGTTTGGCAAAGATGAAAATACTAAAGTCAATGGAAAATGAAGTTTGGTCAATGGAAAATTGGTACATTTTTCCGGAAAATGACTTCCCTTTTTTTTAGGGGAAGTCATTTTCCGTTTCTTCTTCGGAGAGCACAGAGGCCTTCTTCGCGACATTCACCACGTCATTTCCTTCTTCGCGACATTCACCACGTCGTTTCCTTCTTCGCACAAAGACCGAACTTCTTCTTCACACAGAGACCGACCTTCTTCTTTGCATAGAAATCGACATTCTTCTTCGCATAAAGATCGACCTTCTTCTTCGGACAAAGATCGACCTTCTTCTTCGCACAGAGATCGACCACCGGAAACGTATGGTTTTCGACTTGGAAACCCACAGATCTGTTTTTCCAAGTCGGAAACCAATCTGGTTTCCGGTGACTGCTTTCATTGTCGGAAACCAAACCAGTGTTCTGGTTTGGTTTCTGGCAATGATACCAGTCCAATTTTTTTTTAAAAAATAAATTTATAATAAATTTATTATTTGGAATTTATACAATGAAGTCATATCTATTATATGTTAAAGATTTGAAGATTATACATTCCTAGACAAGCTAAATCAATGGTGAAGTATAAAATTTTGCAATTTTGCTAATTCTCCCTCATTTTCTGGAAAATGAACCAAACACAAAAATACAACTTTCTGCTGTGCAGCCAAATACCGGAAAGGAAAATATTTTCTGGAAAATGACTCATTTTTTTCAGAAAACATTTTCCAGGAGTCATTTTCCTGATTTCCAAACGGACCCTTAATAGAATCCGATAAGCAATAGAAACTGTTGGGTAGCAATCTGTAACTTTGACAAACTCAAGAATCTCAACTTCTAACATCAACTTTTCTGGAAAATTCATCTGTAACACTTTTAATTCAGAAAAAAAGATCATTTAAATCAACATCCGACACATTATTATGAGAAAAAGTAATTGCAAAATTATTACAACATTCGATTAATTCTTTATTATCTAATGAGTTCAAATATTTTGAATAATACAAGAATCCAAAAATATTTTCAAATGTCTTTAATTGCTCAAACCTAGTATTCAATGAAGCAATTGCCATATCCACAACAATTAGGCAGAAGTGTCAAATAGGCCCATCTACTTCCGCGAAGTGCTCAATTCCCCCCACGAACCAAAATATAGTATAATTAGACACACTTACCTTCTAAATTTGTTCTAATAGCCTTTTTCGCAGGTTACCAGCCTGTTGCTTATCCATTCTTCTGACTTGGAAAATATTGTTAATGACATGGAATATATTAATTAGCTCAAACCCTTGTAGAACACGTCCTTCCTTCTTCTCAATTCAAACGTCCTCAAATTAGCGCTCCACTCTTCAATCTTCAAGAGTGATACTCCTGGGCTTCGTCAATAGATTTGGGCGTGCGAATTCTCCTCATGTCATCATATTCGACTTCATCTAGCGTGCGAACTAATTTGGAGTATGATCCTCCTATGTACTGTATGTGTGGATTGAAGGCTCCAATCTGCACAACCCGAGATTTTGGGAAGAAATTTTATGGATGTCAAATGTGGAATGTGCGTTTATATCCTTAATTTTCTAGATTGTTGTTAATTTTCGAATGAGAAAATATTGTTTTAAATTTTGCTCAGGAGGGAGTTGGTGCAGTTTTTTCATTTGGGAATAAACTGAAAACGGATGTGGAATGGAGGAATTGAAGAAATTGGTTGCAAGCATGGGGGTTGACTTGATGACTGAAATAGGTGTTCTACGTGCACTGTTTGAGAGTGAATTGCAGCGGATGAAATTGAAGGAGAAGAAAGTTGTAAAGAGAAAGTGACTTTTGATTTGTTTGTTAATTGTGTTAGTTTTTGTAAAGATTCTGTATGGTTTTTAATTGTTTTAGTTCTAGAATTTAATCGAATGATATGTATGGTTTTTGTATGAATGCTAATAACATTATGCCAATGGTAATTGTGTTATTGCTCTTAGCCAAACATTGAGCATTTTTTTTTGTTTAATGCACGGGTAACATAGTTTATTTACTGCCAGAGAGGGCTAATTACATGCCTTCTGATTGAGCATTTTTTTGTTTGGTATGCCCAGGCAATTGGTTAAGCCTATTTGAACACAAACATTTGCCAACACACTTAATTTACTGCCAGAGTTGAGCCCTATTATCTCTTTCTGTTTCTGCCCATGCAATTGGTTAAAATGAAGCAAAATTGCAGAGTTCATTTACTGCCAAATAATGAACACAAACATTTTGCCAACAAAGTTCATTTACTGCCAAACTTAGAGAAATATAATAGAGATGATTTACATGCCAAACGTAGGTCATTTATTGCCAAACTAAGAGAAATAGAATAGAGTTGATTACATGCCAAACAGAGTTCATTATTGCCAAACATAGACCACATCTACACTGCCAAACATAACTACAACTGGTAATTCAAGCATTAACACCAAGAGAAATACAAAAGAGTCAACCTTAGTACTGCCTTGTCTACAGAAACAGTTAGAATTGCCAAAACATAACATAGTTACAAGTCATAGCCAAAACATAGCTACACTGGCAAGCCAAAACATAGTTAAGAGAACTACAATAGAGTTAATTCCCACCACTTGTGCTTGGTGTATTGGTCCTCCCCCTTCTAGGTTTATATATCACTCGTTGACTTGGTAGTCCACGCTATACAAAAATAAAACCAGAAGTTAATTATTTCCAAAGTAACACAACAATAGGGCAAGTAAAGTAGTGAACATCATTCCTTACATTTAGTGTGACTCCTCTAGTGTGTGGGTTTGTATATATACTAAGTCCAACTTGTGTTCCACCTCTTACAACACCAGAATACCCACCTCTTGCAGCAGAAGTCCCTCCTCTTGCATTTGAACTTCCAGTCTGACTTGGTTGAGTAGGACAATAACGTTTGTTGTGTCCCTAGACAAATGAGTAGTGGACTGTGAAGGCCTAGATTCTGATTTTTCTTGTTTTCTTCTTTTCTTAGGCCTTCTAGTCATCTTCTTCGGAGCAGATGCATGTATCTTCTCACTTTGAGTTTTTGGCCAAAAAAATATCACCATTTAAGGGTTGAATCACATGTGTATATGTTTTGATATACACATCCTTAG